CAGAAGTGACAGCTTTCTCTTCGTAAAGTACATATATCTATCTATGTATCTCTTTTTGTATGTATATATATATATATACATACACATATAGAGTCTAGGAGTGCAAGAGACACATAAACAAACAAACGCACACACACACACACACATATGCGTTACCCAGGAGGAAGCGAACCTTGGCTTGCTTTGTCCCCGCAGATTTCCCCAGGTCCTTGCGCAAGACCGGGCAACCCTAAACCCTATAAACCCGAAACCCCAAACCCCAAACCCCACACCCCAAACCCGAAACCCTAAACCCTCTCTACCATATATATTTAAACCTTAATTGTGTTTTCAGAATTTGGCCGCTTTATTTTCAGAATTTGGCCGCTTTACTTTCAGAATTTGGCCGCTTTATTTTCAGAATGAGCCAAAATCAGGCCAAAGGCTAATTGAATTTCAGAATTTGGCCGCTTTATTTTCAGAACCCTCTCTACCATATGTATTTAAACCTTAATTGTATTCTCAAAATTTGGCCGCTTTATTTTCAGAATTTGGCCGCTTTATTTTCAGAATTTGGCCGCTTTATTTTCAGAATGAGCCAAAATCAGGCCAAAGGCTAATTGAATTTCAGAATTTGGCCGCTTTATTTTCAGAATTTGGCCGCTTCAGAATTTGGCCGCTTAATTTTCAGAATTTGGCCGCTTTATTGGCCGCTTTTTCAGAATGTGGCCGCTTTATTTTCAGAATTTGGCCGCTTTATTTTCAGAAATGTGGCCGTGTTTCGCTTTCTCAATGTAGTGGGATTCTCTGGGTGGGTGGGTGTTATATCCGAGCCGTAAATAAAGCTTAACCATAAAGCTGCTCGACCCGGAGTGCTGAACCCTAAACCCCAAACCCTAAACCCCAAACCCTAAACCCTAAACCCTAAACCCTAAACCCCAAACCATAAACCCTAAACCCTTCCCAGGTCCTTGCGCAAGACCGGGCCAGGAAGGCCATGGATGCGATGGCAGCCGTGGAGCGGCTGAGGAATCCCGTCACGGACTCCGCGGACTCTGCAACGCAGGCGCCCCCGCGCCTGTTTAGGGTTTAGGGTTTAGGGTTTAGGGTTTAGAGTTTAGGGGTTTAGGGTTTAGGGACTCAGGGGTGCTCCAAACCTGCTTACATTCTCTCGCCCTCTCTATGCATCCTAGACCTAGGCGTATACTCGGAAGCCCTCTCGATAGGGCTTAGGTTTCCTTTAACTGTTAGTGTTCTGGGTTTAGGGTTTAGGGTTTAGGGTTTAGGGTTTAGGGTTTAGGGTTTAGGGTTTAGGGTTTAGGGTTTAGGGTTTAGGGTTTAGGGTTTAGGTTTAGGGCTGAGGAAGCCTTCCGCCTTTCACCGTATGCGGATCCCTCTGAGACCATCCTTGTCGAATTAAACCCTAAACCCTGAACCCTAACTCCTAGTGCCTTAACAGCAACCCAGTTGGGGTTTACGGTTAGGGCGGTTAGGGTTCCCCGTAGACCCGAAACACTAAACCCTGTTCCGCCCAATCCCCCAAAATTCCAAACCCTATTCTCCCCTAAACCCTAAAGCTTACTCTTCCTCCCTAAGCCCTATTCTCCCTAAACCGTTTCTCATCAAACCCAAAACCCCAAAACCCCAAAACTCTAAACACTGCCTCCTAACCCCCCCCCCCCTACACAAAACCCCACTTTTACCTTCACTTACAACCCACTTGTAAGCCCCTTCCGTGCCCTAATAGGGTGATAATTGGGTTGTAAGTGCCCTGAACCCTAAACCCTAAACCCTCAACCCTCAACCATAAACCCTAAACCCTAAACCCTAAACCTGCCCTGAACCTCTAAGAGCAGGATGTCGACATGGTGGAGTCCAAGGACAGTCAGACCGCGGTTGAGCCTTCCAAGGTCGGAGTCTTCTTCTTATAGGGACCTGGGGGTTGTGGGGGTTTGGGGGTTTAGGCTCTTCAGGGGTTTTAGGGGTTGGGGGTTTTTAGGGGTTTCAGGGGTTTAGGGGGGTTTAGGGGTTCGGAGTTTAGGTTCAAGGGCCAGGGGACGAGGGGTCTCGGGGTTTAGGGTTTAGGGGCTTGGAGGGTTCGGGGGTTAGGGGTTTAGCGTTGTGGGGGGGGGGGGGGGGTTTAGGGGTTTAGGGCTTCAGGGGTTCAGCAGGGGTTCGGAGTTTGGGGGGGGGGGGGGGGGGTCGGAGTTTAGGGGTTTAGGTTCTAGGGGTCTAGGGGGTTTAGGGGTTCGGGCACCTATCATCTTCTGAGCTGAGGGTGCACGAAAAGCTTTGAGACTCGAAGCTCTAAAACCTCAAATCTCCAAAGCCCCAGAGCCTGTGGAAGACCCAAAGCCCTGTGCGAGTAGAACCCCTCAAACCCTAAACCCTCAACCCTAAACCCTCAGACCCTAAACCCTAAACCCTAAACCCTAAACCCTAAACACCTAAACTCTGAGCCAAACAGGTGGAACCCCCGATGGGTGACTTGCTGCGGCACGCCACAGAGCTGGGCGCCTGAAGATGGCGTCCCAGGCAAGAGCAAAAGAGTTGGCTCCAGTTCCCCTAAACCCTAAACCCTAAACCCTAAACCCTAAACCCTAAACCCTAAACCCTAAACCCTAAACCCTAAACCCCAAACCCCAAACCCTAATAGGGGAGGCGGGCGAGCCTTCGTGTGGCCATGATTCAACCCACTCTTCAGGTGAACCCAGAAATGCTAGACTGCAAGACCCCGAGCAAGAGGAGAGCAGCGACATATGTCTCTGTGTCAGACTGTCAGACCTTGATGCGTAAGTCCCAAAATTCTGCCCTTTAGGGTTTAGGATTTAGGGTTTAGGGTTTAGGGTGTGAGCGATCTTATGAAAAGTGCCTGTCTACCGACGCCGCATGCCAGGGCGTGCTGGGCATCCCAGTGATCCTTTGCGACTGCAAGCACGGTCGCACAATAAGTCAGCTTGACCTGTATGTTTGTATGTTTGTATGTGAGACTGCACCCAATTAGAGACCTGAGAACAGGGGCAGCTGTGCGCGGGGTTGGGGTATGTCCCGCAAACCTGTCCAGCAAAAGCTGAGACAGATGGTGGACTCACGTGCGAATGAGTCGCCATGGCCCCGCATGTTAACATAGGCTCAGGCCGTTCCATAATTCATTGTCGACGCGAAGATTGCTCAATCTGCGCGGCGGTGAGAAACAGCTTCGTCGGGTTCTCACAGCGCCGTTCCAACAGTGCGTGCCGTGCGTGGGGAGGCTTCACAGGGCCGTCTGAAGTCTTAGCCCTAAGCCCTAAACTGCCCTAAACCCCAAACCCTGAACCCTGAACCCTAAACCCCAAATCCTAAGCCCTAAGCCCTAAGCCCTAAGCCCTAAACCCTAAACCCTAAACCCTAAACCCTAAACCCTAAACCCTAAACCTGTACGTGTGAGCCTCGACGCAGCGCCAAGGTGTGCCGATGGATGCTGTGGTTGCAGCGGCGATGGGCGCAGGGGAGAGGGCGGAAATGTTGAGACGAACCGTGGAGGCCCGCAGATGCTTGGAGGTTGGATGAGACTATACTAGATCACCATATTTTCTAATCATAAACGGATGTTTTCATGACCCTAAACCCCTAAACCCTCCAACCCTACTTCCCAGCAGCCGAAGGGTTGGGTTTCTCTCTCTAGAGGCAGGGGGGCTAGTTGCCAACCGGAACGCCGGAACGGAACGCAACCTGACGATCTTTATCTTGCTGGTTGTTGGGTTGCACAGCTGCGTTAGATAGGCAGTCCACTAGTTCTTTGTATATTTCATGCGATATGTTATATATATATATATATAAACACATACATTATACTTAGTATACATACATACATACGTACAGACATACATACATACATACATGCATACATACATACATATCACATACTATACTACATTATCTCCTAATTGAGTATAACATGTTGTATTAAGTTATCTTCCGTTTTATAACAGAATTTAGAATACATATAATAAATCTATGTAACGAAATCACCAGAACGAACAAACATATTGAGCTATCTTCTGCTTCTTCTTCTTCTTCTTAGCCTTATAATATAGCAGCCACAAGCACAAGCAATGCCCCCCCCCCCCCCCCACAAAACCCACCTTTTCGGGTTTGAGAGCCCCTTTGTTTCGTGCGAGGACTTGGCACCAGCAAGACGCGGGGCAACTGAACGTATTGTGTGGAACCTAGCAAGCCGAAGGGTTTGGGGTTTAGGGTTTAGGGGGTTTAGGGGGTTTAGGGTTTAGGGTTTCGGGTTTAGGGTTTAGGGTTGCCTCGCGGCGCAAGGTCAGCACGAGCGCCAGCCCTGAAACCCGTACCTGCAACTCCAGACCCCAGCTGAAAAACCTTATTGTACCTACAAGGCCCAGACCCTAAACCCCCAAACGCCCCAAACCCTAAACCGTAAACCCCCAAACTCCCCAAACCCCCAAACTCCCCAAACCCCCCAAACCCCCTAAACTCCCCAAACCCCCCAAACCCCCCAAAGCCCCCCAAACTCCCCAAACCCCCTCAAACGCCCCAAAACCCCCCAAACCCTCCAAACCCCCCCAAACCCCCCAAACCCCCCAAACCCCCCCAAACCCCCCCAAACTCCCCAAACGCCCCAAACCCAAACCCCCACCCAAACACCTCAAACCTAAGCCCCAAACCCAGGTGGCTGCTGAACGCGCCCTCCGGAGCCTTGAGCGAGACTTGCGGGCGCGCTGCCAGGAGCGAAGGGTTTGGGTGGGATGGGGTTTAGGGTTTAGGGTTTAGGGTTTAGGGTTTAGGGTTTAGGGTTTAGGGTTTAGGGTTTAGGGTTTAGGGTTTAGGACTTAGGACTCAGGACTCAGGACTTAGGACTTAGGATTTAGGGTTTAGGGTTTAGGGTTTAGGGGGGTTTTAGGTTTCGGGTGCTTTTTTGGGAGTTGTGGGGGGGTTTTGTGGTTTTCTTTTGGGGTGGGTTTGGGGGTTTTGGGGGTTCTCGGGGTTTTGGGAGGTTTTGGGGGGTTTTGGGGGCTTTGGGGGGCTTTGGGGGGCTTTGGGGGGCTTTGGGGCGCTTTGGGGGGCTTTGGGGGGTCTTTGAAAGGTTTGACAGCTCTGCGTCCCAACAAAAAAGTCCGCAAAACTCCTAAACGCCCGAAACACAAAAGGTTTAGGATTTAGGGTTTAGGGTTTAGGGTTTAGGTTTTAGGGTTTAGGATTTAGGGTTTAGGGTTTATGCTTTAGGACTCCCAAACCCCGGAACCCTAAAACCTAAACCCGATGGCTAAGCTCCCTAAACTCCCCACACCGCTTAAACTCCAAACTCCCTAAGACACTACTGAACCCTTAGGGTTTAGGGTTCAGGGTTTAGGGTTTAGGGTTTCGGGTTTAGGGTTCCACAAGCAGCTCCGAATCTACCAGGAGCTGCTTGGCACGGAGGAGCTCTCCGTGCCGGACCGGACGCCGCGAGCATTAGGGTCTATATAGGGTTCATGGGTTTACCTCGGGCTTAGGGTTTAGGGTTTGAGGTTTAGGGTTTGGGGTTTAGGGTTTGGGGTTTGGGGTTTAGGGTTTGGGGTTTAGGGTTAAGGGTTTGGGGTTTAGGGTTTAGGGTTTCTTCCGTGCTTGGGGTTTACTTAGGGATTCAGGGTTTGTACGGTCTTTTGGAGGTGTTCAGGGTGTTGTTGAGCGATGTTCTTGGGGTAGGGCTAAGGGTGACTTTGGAGGGGGCTGCCATTCGGTGCGACGACTCCCCCAAACCCCAAACCCTAAGCCCTAAGCCCTAAGCCCTAAGCCCTAAGCCGTAAGCCCTAAGCCCTAAGCCCTAAGCCCTAAACCCTAAACCCTAAACCCTAAACCCTAAACCCCAAACCCTAAAACCCTACAGGATGGCATCGAGCAGGAGGTGGTGAGCAGACTTCCCCTGGCCCGAATCCCAGCACTGGGCAGTGAGAAGTTGGCCGCTCCTAAGCCCTAAACCATGAACCTGAAAACCCTCAACCCTCAACCCCAAACCCAAACCCCCAAACCCTAAACCCCCAAACCTTAAACCCTCAACCCGAAACCCTCAACCCTCAACCCCAAAACCCTAAAGCCCTAAAGCCCTAGAGCCCTGAACCCTCCAAGCCCCTAAACCCTTAAGAGAGAGAGCCACGGAGGGATTGCGAGGATCTCTGTAAGGGCCATTCTCTTACCCCTTATTTCACCGGGGGCTCTAGTTCCTTGGGATAGTTTCTTCTGCTTTCCCTTCTTTCGGGTTCAAGAGGATCACACGTAGGCGCCTTTTTTTGCAGAAGGCCCAAAAGGGCCAACCTGGAAGCCCCCAGCCCTAAACCCTAAACCCCAGACCCTAAACCCTAAAACCCCAAACCCTGGACCCTTAAACCCTAAACCCTAAACCCGAAACCCCAAACCCCAAACCCTGGACCCGGAAACCCTAAACCCTGCGATCCGAAGCCCGAAGCACCAGGACGAGAAAAGCCAGCAGCAGAGCCTCACGGGCCTTCGTCAAGCGTGGGAGCCTCGGCGCGGCCGCGCGGGAGAGCTTTCACTCCGAAACCCCAGACCCTAAACCCTAAACCCAAAACCCAAAACCCTAAACCCTAAACCCTAAGCCCTACCTAGGGCACTGCATTGAGGGGCTTAGGGCTTCGGGAGTCTGAGCTCAGTAGCCGTGGGGTTCAGGGTTCAGGGGTGCAGGATTTGTTGAGTGCTTAAGGTCAGGGTTTAGGGGGGATGGGGGTTGGGTTTAGGGTTTAGGGTTTAGGGTTTTAGGGTTTAGGGTTTAGGGCGTTTAGGGTTTGGGGTTTAGGGTTTAGGGTTTGGGATTTGGAAGACGTTGGGGTCACGAAGCGAGGCAGCTCTCCTCCAGCCAAGCGCTGACCGAGTTCGTACAGCTGCCGCAGCCGGCCCAGCACAAGAGACGCTAGGGTTTAGGGTTTAGGGTTTAGGGTTTAGGGTTTAGAGTTTAGGGTTTAGGGCTTAGGGTTTCGGGTTTCGGGTTTAGGGTTTAGGGCTTAGGGTGTCGGGTCTAGGGTTTAGGGCTTAGGGTGTAGGGGTTAGGGTTTAGGGTTTAGATTTAGAGCCGACCCAGCACAAGTGACGCATGGTCAGGGGTTCGAGTTGAGCAGGCGCCAGGAGCCTGCAGCTCATAAAGGAAGCTTCGACTTAAAGCTATGGTAGAAAGAGCCCTAGACCCTCAACCCTCAGCCCTGAACCCTGAACCCTAAACCCTAAACCCTAAACCCTAAACCCGAAATTCTAAACCCTAAACCCTAATCTCCGTCCTCGACGTCCTCGACGCCAGAGGCAGAAGCTGAAGGTTGTCTTCGATCTCACCAAGCGCCTGAGCTCTGAGGCTGGTGGCGGGGACTTTTAGGGTTTAGGGCTTAGGGTTTAGGGTTTAGGGTTTAGGGCCTAGCAGGGATTGGGGTTTTGGGGAAGGCCATTTTCCACTCCACAGTTCCCTACAATCAACTCCTGTCAATGCTCTCGCTCAGGGTTTCCGGCAGTTTAGTGCTTTGGGGCAGTTTC